GGTGTCTGTAGCTAACTGTCAATACTGACCCGGTGTCTGTAGCTAACCGTCAATACTGACCCGGTGTCTGTAGCTAACTGCCATTACTGACTTTGTGTCTGTAGCTGACTGTCAATACTGACCTGGTGTCTGAAGCCAACTGTCAATACTGACTTAGTGTCTGTAGCTGACTGTCAATACTGACCTGCTGTCTGTGGTTGATTGTCAGTACTGACCTGCTGTCTGTGGTTGTGTGTCAGTAGTGTCTCCAGCTGGTCCAGCGTTTCTTGAACCACCTGCTGGTAGACGAGGTTCATCTGAAGACACGAGTCTGCTGACGGAGACAGAGCCAGCTCACTCTGAACACAGACAGACAGGTACAGACACAGTTAGTATAACATTGACCCGTCTGTCTGTAGCTGATGTGAAGATATCACTGACCTCCTCACTGCTGCTGCTGCTGTCGTCGTCATTATCTGATTAGAACAAGAACAGACATGAATACATGATATGTCTCACCTTTAATGGAGACAGACAGGTACCTGACACAGTAGAGACAGACAGATACCTGACACACTGACAGGACTATGTTGTCCCAGGACTTCCTCCAGGTTCTGGATCTCATTCTGGATCTTTTCTTTCTGAGCCAACAGACCTGCAGCAGACTGAACACACACAGTGTTAATGTCTCATGTTGTGTTATATTATATTATAATACAGACAGAACTACAGACAGGACTGCCATGGTAACTGATGAGTATGTCTGTGTGTTACCCGTGTCTCCTCATCTGCGTCATCCCCATCTGATTCATCATCTGACCAGAAACACAAGACCACTGTTAGACAGGCAGACAGCAATAAGATAATTGATTGAAAGTTTGATCTTGACCTTATTGATCAGAGATCAATTTAAATACTCCTGAATACTATCAATATAAATACTCCTGAATACTATCAATATAAATACTCCTGAATACTATCAATATAAATACTCCTGAATACTATCAATATAAATACTCCTGAACACTATCAATATAAATACTCCTGAACACTATCAATATAAATACTCCTGAACACTATCAATATAAATACTCCTGAATACTATCAGTATAAATACTCCTGAATACTATCAGTATAAATACTCCTGAATACTATCAGTATAAATACTCCTGAATACTATCAGTATAAATACTATCAGTATAAATACTCCTGAATACTATCAGTATAAATACTCCTGAATACTATCAGTATAAATACTATCAGTATAAATACTCCTGAATACTATCAGTATAAATACTATCAGTATAAATACTCCTGAATACTATCAATATAAATACCCCTGAACACTATCAGTATAAATACTCCTGAACACTATCAGTATAAATACTCCTGAATACTATCAGTATAAATACTCCTGAATACTATCAGTATAAATACTCCTGAACACTATCAGTATAAATACTCCTGAACACTATCAATATAAATACTCCTGAATACTATCAGTATAAATACTATCAGTATAAATACTCCTGAATACTATCAGTATAAATACTCCTGAATACTATCAATATAAATACTCCTG